CCATTATTATCAATATTATTATTATGCGATTTGAATCATTTGGTTCAATTATTTTTCAAGTCAGGTAACTACTTTACGCTTGTCATTATCTTGCTGTTTCTTAAATTAAAAAATATAAATAAATAGATTTTTTGTTAAATATAATTATTAAATCATAAGTTTTTATTCTACTGTATATATGAGCAAACAAAAACAATTTTAAACCAAAAAAAATCAGAACCGACCAGAAAAATTATGGAACCGTGAGAGTCCTATGCAATTATTCCGAGAAAGTATGTTCTATCATTAAAATGATATTGTCTTACAGACCCGGTTTAACGATAGAATTCATTTTGTGTATTGGAAATGTAGCAAAATAAACACAGGCGATAACTCAAACTCAGTGCATTTACTAAAAGAAGGATTCAATCTCAAAGTTCGTAAAACAATACAAAATTATAGCAGGGCAAACATGGACCTCCGAAACATCAGAGGTGGGATCAGGTGCCATGGAGGGGTAAACATCCCCTGCCGACCTGTCACATCCGCTGTGTGCTCCTTGTCATGGCCAGGAAACAACGGAAAAAATCCATCTTCAATTCAGTGTATATTAAAATAATAGACTAAAAATTGGTATGAAAAACGTCAGTCAGCATTTGACTCAGTGATAAATTGTATTTGCTGACAAGGTCATTGTATCAACCATAGAACTTACAAAATGATGACTTTAAACAAGACAGTTGATATTCCTGTTTCATCAACTTGTTTGTCAATAATTAACCTCGTTTAGAAATCGTTCATAGGTAGAGCATGCTCTTGCGTATCGAATCAACTGAGATATATACACTCTGTATGCAGAAATAAGGGAAGTTAACAATAGAAAAGTTAAAGCCATCAATCCATAGAGTTCTTAATGTCAACATGGCGTGTATATTTGAAGCAAGAAAAACGTTGAGAAATAGCCAACATCGGAACCATTATTTCGTCTTTTATTCCGTCGCGGTTTTAATATTTAGTGTGTCTAACGAGATCTCGTTTTTGGCGTGAACTTGGGCAACATTTTGTAAACAAGGACGCTCTGCTAACCTTACCATGTCTTGTGATGTCAAATTACCTCGTTTTTTTTAACGTTTTACCTGCAAATAACCATGGTAAATTACCATTGTATTGCCGTGGGTTGTAACAATGACTCCAGAAAAACTAACAGACTCAGTAAATACCCGCATATGTTCACGGGCACTGGAAGTTAATGTAAATATATAGTATGTGTATGTATAAAAAAAAGAAGGGTAGGACACTCTTTTTGAGGCAAATTCGGGTTTGGGGTATTGTAGGCCTTTCTCAGAAAACTTGACGCGATTAATCGTTCGCATATAACTTACTTTAAATATATGTACCGTTTCGTTCCGCCTCAATGCCGTTCCTTCGAAGAAAAAGATGTTTTTATACCTCCAAGTGCCTAAGAATTTCGCTAGACTGCCTTACTTCCGGTTTATCCAAACTGAATAGAGAGGTAAGTTTTGTCTTGATTGGTCAATGTATACACATATTTTATATACTAAACTAATATTCTTCATTATTCTTAGAAATTATTTGTAAAAAGGCTAAACTAAGTCTTCAACAAACGTGAACATACCATGACAAATAAATTGTTTCTCGCTTCATGTATAGCCAGCTGTTTAAATTTTATTTTATTATTGACCAATCAGTCCTACCCTTCTTTTTTATACATACACATACTATATATTTACATTAACTTCCAATGCCCGTGCATATGTTAGATAACAATGGAAATGTTGTTAATTTTTATGTATTGCCTTCCGCAACTAAACATCCAAAACTTCGGCGCCAGTGGATTAATGCGGTACGCCGTAAAAATTTTAAACCTAGCAATACAGATCATTGGCACGCAGTATGCTCCAGACATTTTGTAGATGGAAGACCCACTGACACAAACCCAATACCAACTTTATTTGAATATAATAACTACATGCATGACCAGGCCCAGGGTGAAGGAAAGAGGAAAACATTGACTTCAAAACACAACAGTACTTCATCTTCCCAGGGGTTTGTATTTCAGCTTCTCGATCAATGATAATTTTACATAAAAATGTGATACCCATATTTCTATTATCAGATTATTAGGCCAAAAGAAAATATACTCTTGTTTCCTGTTCCCTGACCAAAAAGAAATGGGTAGGTAGGTAAGGAAAGAAATTATTTTCAAAGCCCAATGGATGCAGAATATATGTAATAACAAGAAAACAATATGTTAACACTTTATAGAGCAAGTTTATTAATAAAGATTTTTGAAATAAAGGTATCCTATGCACTTAGATATATTAGCTCTATTAATATTGTTGGTTGACTTTAGTATTTCAGGTAAATAGCCCCCCCCCCCCCCCCACCCAAAAAAAAAAAATGAATTAAAAAAAAAATTAGGGTTGCAGGGTAAACTGTTAGGGTAGGTCGGGTGACAGGAAACAAGAGAACATACAATAAAACTTGTTTAGTACAAACACAGATATTGTGATTTCACAGATATACATGTAGCAAAGTCATTTTGGATCCCCAGCTTTATGAATAAAATGAATTTCTTATACGGTTCTAATGAATAATGGTTATAGCAAAGTAATTTCAAAGGTCCGAGTGACTTCGTTATAACCAAATTTGCTGTATTAATTTTTTGCCTAGAGAATATATATTCAACATAATTGCATGAATAATCAATATCTAAATTTCATTTAGGAACACACACTCACAAAATATCTTTTTTATATTGTATGAGTTCTGTCATAATAACAACTGTGCCTCTAAAACTGTTAATGAAAAATTTTACATGTAGAAATGAAAGTCATTCTGAAGAGGAAAAACAAAGGACTCCACAGACTAGTGTATCTGTCCAGCCAGTACCAGTGGTAGAGTTATATCAAGGCATACAGCATGAAATCATTATTCCTGCCAAGGAAGGAGGAAAAGGTTTGGAAGACATAGTTTTCGTGAAAATAATTAAAAAAATAACACTTCTTTGATTTTGTTTAAAAAGTTTGTCATTTATCTGTGATTTTTTTTCCTATTATCAGAAATGTCTGGATTTAAGAAATTTGCTTAATCAATAATAACAAATTTACCCTAAAAGATCATAACCGGTATATTTTTTATAAGCATAAAAATATGCTTTAAAATTTGTATTTGCATTTTTTTTTCAGTTCCAATTACCACTGATTGGCCATGTTCCCTACCTGGTCTCATGCAACATGACCACCCATATGTGGTGAGTCCTGTGTCAGGATCATCTAATCTCACTGACACAGACTGGGCAGATGCCGATACCCATATAACAAACCTGGAGTGAAAATAGGCATCTGAAGGTATTTTTACAGCAAAGCAATTGTTTTTTTTTTATTATTTCATATGTATTATGTCATATAAATACATGTACAGGGTGTTTGAGCAAATATGTATTCTCTTAATATTAGTGTTGGCAAATCGGACGATTTTTAGTAACTGGTTATTCGCTTTATCTTCCATTTGAGTACCCGGTTACTCGGATGATTTTACGTAAAGTATCCATATCTTTTATTTATGTTATTGTTTACTTATCGGTAGTAATAATACACAAATATACTGTATATGGACATTATTTTTATAATACACACATGCGCTATTGTCAACAAATTTTGATTTTAGATTAAAGAAAATAAGAAATATGACAAACGAGGGAAAAAAATAAAGACATTCTTAACCACCATCTCACAATTGCATTCGTTATGCTTTACTTTTCTGTCCTTGAAATAAGTCGCTAGCAAGGAGAATAATAATTAATATCTACATATTCTGTAATTAATAGTTAATTTGTTGAGATTTTGAATTAACTGGTTTTGAATTCTTAAAACTCCAAGCTTAATTTGTCTTAGGCGGCATCTCATTAAATTATTAAATGAGATAATCATAATTCAGGCTTTCAAAAGTTGTATACCCCCAGGCAATCAAAGCTAATAATTAAATAAACTGTGAAAACTAATCAAGACAATTTGATCCACTATAACCATGTATAAAATCAAGTCTAACGTTACCTAAAATTAGGGAAGTATGTAAGTATATACATTTATAAATTATAAAACTAATTTTTTTGCATTTACTATGTAGATTTTTTTTTCATGCGAGTAACTTAATAGCAGTTTTACTAACAGATACTCACATCATTCGACGGTTAACCGGGTACTCATTGCCAACAAAACTTAATGTATTTTTAATGTTTGTTTTAAAAAATGTAACATGTGCTTAACTTTGTAGGTTCATTGTGAACAACTCGAGGAGAGGATAGTGGCTTTTAAAGAGGAAAACACACAACTGAAAAATCAGTTAAATGAAAGTGAAAGACAAAGATAGGAAGTTGAATCCAAACTTCAAAACAAAGACAAACTTTTCCGAGAGATTTTAATAGATAAACTAACAAAGTGTGACAACAATGTAAGACTCTTTCTTGGGCTGCCCTCTCTTCTGTTTTTAAAGGGTTTGTTCGACATATTGAATGGTGCAGCTTCCAGTATGAAATATTGGACTCGTAGATCATCAAGTCATGAAAAAAAGTGGCACGCAGAAAATTTAAGGAGACCTGGGAAACAAAGAAAACTGCAGTTATTTGAAGAATTCATTTTGGCACTACTTCGTCTGCGTTTAGGCCTGAACACCATGTTCTGTTCAGTCTTGTTTGGAGTGTCTCAGTCCACAGTTTCTTCCATATTCACCACATGGATGTGTTTTCTAGATCAGCAATTAAAACCATTACTTAAGTGGCCATCAAGCCAAGGCAAAAAATAAAAAAACATATGCCTCTTTCCTTCCGTTTAAAATATCCAAACACAAGAGTAATAATCGATGCAACGGAGTTCTTTGTTCAACGTCCGAGGAATCCTTCAGCTCAGAGCAGAACTTGGTCAAATTACAAAAACAAGAACACTTTCAAAGCGCTGGTTGGGATTTCACCAAATGGGGCCTTTACATTCATATCTGAATTATGGTCTGGAAACATTTCAGATCGCAGCATTACTCTGAGAAGTGGATTCTAGATCTTATTCAGCGAGGTGATCATGTTATGGCAGACCGCGGATTTTTAATTAATGACCTCCTTCTTCAGAGGGGAGCCCAGCTGAATATGCCACCATTTTGTCGGCCATGTCAGTATGGAAAAGGCAAATACTTGACATCTAAACAAATTAAGGAGTCAAAAAACATTGCCTCATTGCGCATTCATGTGGAGCGTGCAATTCAGAGACTGAAAAGTTACAAATTCTTTGATGGTATTATGTACATAAAATCATTGTCTGTTGCAAATCAAGCCTTACAAGTAGCGGGTATTTTTTGCAATTTTATGGCTCCCCTTGTCAGCAAAGTTCAGAAAAATAAGATTTTCTAACTAAATACGATGATTATTGTTTGCAAGTGCTACAACATTACAAGTGCAACAACTTAAATTTTGTTGCAAAAGTTCATTCTTTCACATTATTTATTTGATATTTTATATAGTTCACTGATTTGAATGAAGGAAGTTTTATGTTAGTGTTATGTACTGTTATATTGGCATATCTATTATTACAGATTTACTGATTAAAAGTTTATATGAAGGACACATATTTTTTATCATTGTTCCGTAATACTGCACTAAGTACCGCGGTATGCAATATTCAAAGCATATAGGAAAAAAATAACTGATTTGAATATGTTTTAAACAATTTCTTTAATTTTTAGATATGAATTGTATAATAATAAATTCAACTGATGATGATTTTTGGAAATATAAATGTCTTATAAAACTTGACAATTTTTTCTTTCATACATTCCCATATTTGTCCATTGAAGAACACTCTTTCAGAAAAAATGCCTGAGTGTGTGTACAAAATAAAATCACAGTAGGTACGTTTTGTTACAGCCATTTGACACATCATTTGACAATAATATGGTGAGTTACTGTTTTTTCTTAAAACAGGAAATCCATTTCTTAGTTCAAAATTTTTTAAATCACATGCTGCTGCTTCCTTTGGTTTTTTATCTTTATACTTGTATGGACATTTAATTTCGAGGCACCCTGGTAAACAACAGTCACACTCTAGTAAACCATCTGGTGAGGCACCAATGAAAGGAAGCCCATCATCAATTATCAGGCCTGCACTAGAATATCTTAGATTAGTGTGAATTTTCTCATTTAACTCCAAATACATATCTCTAGCTTTTGCTTCATATTTTCTACCATGTACAAGTGCAGGAATACAATTAGATTCTGAGGTAGCATATTTTTTACAAAGAATTTGTGTAACAAGGCTACCATTTTCATTTCGACCACTGAAATGTAGGCAGTTAAACACAGATGATGCAGTAATGTGCGACCTACTCTTTGATGATGCCATACATCTGATGAGTTTTGAGCAACTGTACTTTTTGAAATTTTGACTGCAAGATTTCTGTCAAAATAAACTTTAAGACCATCAACAAACTCTTCAAAGGAAGCATTTGGATTCATCATATAAAATTTTTGAGCAAATTCAGTCACATTCTCACACACACTTTCTTCAAATTCATATTCAGAATCGGAACTATCAGATAGGGTTTATGCTGCACATGCAGCTAATTTTTCTGCTTTTAAAAGTTTGTATATCTCTTTTTCAGTTCGATTGTTTAATTGTTCATTAGTAACAGGTGTGTATTCTTCATCACATGCCATGGGCTGAGGTTGGTTGTTTGGTTGCTGTCTTAGATCAAGGTCAGTAATTTTTACTGGTCTTGTTGACCTTACACGATTTGTCCACTTAGCCTTTTTATCAGTGACACCAATCTCTGTTCGATCATTCAGTCCAAGGCAAAATTGTTGAAGTCCAAACAGCAAAGCAGCAATATGCTTACATGTACCATCCCCACTACAAAATAAAAATTATGGCACTGCTATTTATGAAGTCAAAATTTGTCATCTTTATTCATGCTTTGAATCCTTTGCTATGATATAAAAAAATTTACCATTTATACATGCAGAATTTTTATTATACAAATAGTTGAATGCTTTAAAAAATATGAATTATACTTTTCAAAATAAATCTTTACAGCTTTTCTTCTGGAGAACAGTTATTTCCAAGATCTGATATTAAAAAAAAGAACATTGGATAGAAAATTCTGATCTATATATGAATATCAAATGCTTTATATAGAACAGCCAACATATAAGAATAACACTGATATCATGTCACAACCTAAAATTATAATTTCAATCCAATGTTTTCTCAAACGTCCGCGACGAATAATTGTATAATAGATCTATAGTACATACGCAACACATGTGCACTCTCCAGAGACAATTGTTCCATTCTCTTGTACCAACAGCCATATTTTGTAGGGCTCAGCTGTCTGTCGTTCCTCTGGAGTGGATGAACCTCTGATATAACAGAGATTAGAGTCGAGTTTAGACATGGCCACGTTACTAATGTGACCATTTGAATGCAAGCGGTAGTTGTTGTCGGATTTGTAATTTTTTCAGTCTTTCATTTGTCCACAGACAACTGGTTTTTAAATAATATTGAATATCATACGCCTCGATGGACGGTATTTTATCTAAACATTCATCCCATTGTATATTTGGGGAATTGGGATGTGGATATGTTACGCCATGCACAGTCCTACGTTTCAGTCGATCTGCAGATTCTTGTGCTAAATCGAATTTTGGCTGTAAATTTTGTTTAAACGCTTCGCAAGCTAAGTCTAATAACTCATGTTTTCTGTAGCCCGATACCCTAATACCACGATCTGTCAAAAATTTCTTTAATTCGGGCAAAGATTTTTGCACAAGAAATGATTCGTTCTCTGCCATTAGTTTAGCTACCGATTTGTTTACAAAAGTTGCCCAAGTTACGCGTCATTTTCGTTACTTCTTTTTTAAAAGAGTTCCACAAATTTGTAGTTCCGATATTCGGTATTAAGTTTGAGTTTTGCCATTTTATCATTATGGATTTTTTTTTAATTAGGATAAAAATCATATATATATATAATCTCAAAAAGGTTTGCTATGATTAATTTGGTCGTAAGTTATTTCCAGTGTATTTTATTCTGTATTTTCAAAATCATTTGGTAGCGGATCCGCTGTGCTAGGGGACATATTCTAATTGTGGTGCAGGACTAAGAGCTTAATTGTCCTGACCCAGGAAACAGTCAGATTATTCGAACTAAATCAGTCTAGTCGAACCGTCAAACGGGGGTTTATGAATGTTGGATATCTGTACCTTCAAACGGGGGTACGGCGCATGCGCAGAAACTCAAAAAGTGCCATTTTCACGGAAAAACGTGTGGTCCACAAAATATGCTCGAGCAAAGTGATGGATTATTTCGTAGCTCTGTATGTACTCAAATTTGATAGATTAAAGATGTTTAAAGAGATTGTATTGCGAAAAAGTATATGTTTATTGTAAAAATCGAGACTTTTTCTCCCCCAAAGATAGCGTATTCTGTGCCTTGACCTCCACGCTTGATACAACTAGATTTTTTATTCATAACTAAATAAAACGGATGAATAAACAAACACTTGCTTGTTTAAAGTTGAACTACATATAATCCCCTTCCCCAGTATTAAAAATCCTGTGTAATTAGCGTGTTATTTATTATTTTTCGACACTTTCTTTGTGCATGTTCGAATTTTCTCTGTCCTGTAAACAAACTTTTGTGCCTCAGAAATGACGTAAATAAAGACAAAAACAATTTTATAATTTTTTTAAAATTGAAAACAAAGGTATAGACAATTCATTTTTGTATGTTTATGATTTAAAAAAAAAATATTTATTTTTTTTAATAAGAAGAGTTATCGTTCTTCTGCTTTCGAGCGTTGCATTTAGGGAAGGAAAACCCTCGTTTGAGGGTATACCCTCGTTTGAGGGTTCGACTAGACTGTAAATTGTTCCCAACGTGTTTAAATGCCTTTGCTACAAAAATATATATTGAGTTGAACAATGCCATAGACGGCAAGGCGATCAACCTGATATATTTCTGTGTGGAGTCACTAACAAACTAATTTTACCGTGCCGTTGAAAAGCCTCATAAGTTAACAGCTGTGAGTTCTTGAGAACCTATGCTCCACCAGGAACCAAAAAAAACCGTGAGTTCTACTTCATATAATTGTTTACCTATGAGGAAACTCACTGGATCATTCAATGCATCCCCATCCCACTGCCTTCTTAGTTCTACTGCGCCCTCCCTTTACGGAGGTATATTTACATATAAAAACAGGGCATGAGACCATGGTCGCATCTAAATCAAAACGAGGCTAGGGCTTTCCGGAATCGCGGTTCTCCCATCTATTTACCCCTAACCATATCCGGTTATAATAGAAGCCTTTCCACGGATTCTTAATCAAGCTTTAGATTTAATTAATGCTTAAATTTAGACGTTAGCTCTACCCTCAAACACAATAACGGTTAGGTAGTAAGGGTTCTACAGGATTATACGAAGATTTTAAATGGAGGAAGCAGGTGAGATAAGAAAAAAAGACCCATACATAGCAGGTCCAGTATAGTTTATTAATTGATGTAATTGTAAAAATATTACGTAGCTTTTTAAAACAAATGAGGAAATGTGATATTGCTATTTCAATGTAACTTTTCAAAATTTCATTTTTAATTTAAAAGAGACAAAAAATCGCAATTAAGAGACTATTGATATTCATACTAGCATACATGCCAACTTTCCCGATTTAGGCAATGAATCATTATTTTTTTTTTCATACCGCCTTCCCGATAATTAGCAAAATGTGTGCATTTCCCGATTTGAAAAAAAATCACCAAAATTTCCGATTTTAAAAGTTTCCCTACCGCTGAATTTTGACAATCGGGATAACAATGTCAGACTTGTTTATTCAATGCACACAGATAAGTTTCATTGTTTATTTAACCAGATGTTAATTAGGCCTAAACACAGGAAATCACTTCACGCTTGAACGCACAAGCATGGTCCACTGGAGCAAGAAGCTTATAGCTTGGGGCAATTAGGGGATAATCTTGTTAGTTTTAAAGGGTATGCAAGGTGAAACACATAGATTAACAAGATAGTTGTTTGTCATTTTATTAAAAATATAAATTAAAGACAATAAAATGCAAATCAAACAATAAAAACGGAATCCAAAGAGATCGTTTTTTGAAAACGAAAGTAGAAAACTAATAAAGCATAGCTGCTGATTTTATCTACCTATAATGAAAAATATTGTACAGTTTGCCAGCTAAAATATTATTAAAAAATTAAGATGAAACAATCAAGTGTATGTCATAGAATTTCATTTTCATATAAAAGTAATATGTTAGGTAGATCTATGTGCACGACTTAAGGAAATACCCACATGGCACCATCAAGCCTGACAAATTTCATGTAAAAAAAAAAAATTCTGTTTTGGATAGGTGGTATAAATTTCTGTAAATTTAATATCTTATTAGAATTTCTAATTAATTGAAATATAAATAAAAAATGTTTCAGAAACAGGACTTTACAGTATCAACACCTCATTTATTTTTAGCCTTTGAAAAAATGATTAAGTTGCACAATTTTCAATTTTTCACTAAATTCTGTCCTGGTAGAAAAAAAGTTGTTTATATATGTAACTAAATACCCCTTCTTTAGGAAGAGAGGCACCAGTATTTTAGCAAAAATATTTCAATTTTGGAAAGAAAAACATTTTTTGTGGTAAATTAATCCTTGAGTTTTATTGATAAGTGATATCAATATTATAAATAAAAAAATCATTTCATAATCATTTAATTTCACGACAAAATGTCGCGAGTTTAAAGCTTTGAAAATTGTCGTCACGCGTTAAATCCCCCATGGGAATTTTCAAAAGTTGGCATGTATGTACTAGGGAGGCTTATAAAAACAATCCAAAGCAGAGATAGTGTATACATTGCTGCGTTAGGACAATTTAGAGCAAAACATGTAATTCCATTGTTTGATTACTGTCTTCTCTCTCATGCGTGCGGTGAGGCATGACTGAGTATGATTACTTCACATTGTGCTGAATGATTACTGACCTATTATCGTGTTAACCGGAACTTAACTTCTTTGACATTTCATTCCAGGAGTAACTGTTCTAACTGTCATACATAGCCCCAAAACTTTCAGAACTTTGATTGCAATTGCGCAGAAAAGGACATTTCTTCAAGAATGATTTTTTCCTGAGTTGTTTTCAGATGAGTTCAAAGTTGAAAAGGATCACTGCATAAAAGGATATTTTCCGCACACCCTAGAAAAATGCTTTTTTATAGCAATAAATTGAGTTGGTAGCTAAATAAAGCTACCTCAGGTAGGTAAATAAAGCTATGTAGGTAAATCAAGCTACGTAGCTAAATCTAGTGATTGTACCAGACCTGCATAGGTGCCTAATAGTTTATTGATTGATGTAATTGTAAAAATATTCCTTTTTAAAACAAATGAGGAAATGTGATATTGCAGTTTGACAATTGTGAACAAACGAACACACTTTGCCACTAGTTTACAACACTTTGCCATCAAACAATTACAAACACACGCTTATTGAACTGCAATATACGAGACGATTTAGGCAATGAATCATTTTTTTTTTTAAATATAGTCTCATAATTACAAGGATGTGTGCAAACAAATTGAGTTATGCACGTAAGTACATTATAAAAATTTCTTTGTACTCTCAATATGTAACATTCTTAAACACATACATGTTTGGTCTCATGTTTACAACACTGTAGCATGAGACCATTGACATATAACAGTCTTAAACATAGATGGTCTCATGTTAACAACACTGTAGCATGAGACCATTGACATATAACAGTCTTAAACATAGATGGTCTCATGTTTACAACACTGTAGCATGAGACCATTGATATATAACAGTATTAAACACAGATGGTCTCATCTCTACAACACTGTAGCATGAGACCATTGACATATTACAGTCACAAACATAGATGGTCTCATGTCTACAACACTGTAGCATGAGACCATTGATATATAACAGTCTTAAACATAGATGGTCTCATGTTTACAACACTGTAGCATGAGACCATTGACATATAACAGTCTTAAACATAGATGGTCTCATGTTTGCAACACTGTAGCATGAGACCATTGACATATAACAGTCTAAAACATAGATGGTCTCGTGTTTGCAACACTGTAGCATGAGACCATTGAAATATAACAATCTTTAACACAGATGGTCTCATCTCTACAACACTGTAGCATGAGACCATTGACATATAACAGTCTTAAACATAGATGGTCTCATGTTTGCAACACTGTGGCATGAGACCATTGACATATATCAGTATTAAACATAGATGGTCTCATGTTTACAACACTGTAGCATGAGACCATTGACATATAACAGTCTTAAACATAGATGGTCTCATGTTTACAACACTGTAGTATGAGACCATTGACATATAACAGTCTTAAACATAGATGGTCTCATGTTTACAACACTGTAGTGTGAGACCAGTGACATATAACAGTCTTAAACATAGATGGTCTCATGTTTACAACACTGTAGCATGAGACCATTGACATATAACAGTCTTAAACATAGATGGTCTCATGTTTACAACACTGTAGCATGAGACCATTGACATATAACAGTCTTTAACATAGATGGTCTCATGTTTACAACACTGTAGCATGAGACCATTGACATATAACAGTCTTAAACATAGATGGTCTCATGTTTGCAACACTGTGGCATGAGACCATTGACATATAACAGTCTTAAACATAGATGGTCTCATGTTTACAACACTGTAGCATGAGACCATTGACATATTACAGTCTTAAACATAGATGGTCTCATGTTTACAACACTGTAGCATGAGACCATTGACATATAACAGTCTTAAACATAGATGGTCTCATGTTTAAAACACTGTAACATGAGACCAATGACATATAACAGTCTTAAACACAGATGGTCTCATGTTTACAACACTGTAGCATGAGACCATTGACATATAACAGTCTTAAACATAGATGGTCTCATGTTTTCAGCACTGTAGCATGAGACCATTGACATATTACAGTCACAAACATAGATGGTCTCATGTTTACAACACTGTAGCATGAGACCATTGACATATAACAGTCTTAAACATAGATGGTCTCATGTTTACAACACTGTAGCATGAGACCATTGACATGTAACAGTCTTAAACACAGATGGTCTTATGTTTACAGTACCGTAGCATAAGACCATTGACATATTACAGTCACATACATAGATGGTCTCATGTTAACAGTACTGTAGCATGAGACCATTTACATAAAACAGTCTTAAACAGGTCATGGTCTCATGTTTACAACATGTAGCATGAGACCATTGACATGTAGCAGTCTTAAACACAGATGGTCTCATGTCTACAACACTGTAGCATGAGACCATTGACATATAACAGTCACAAACATAGATGGTCTCTTGTTTACAACACTGTAGCATGAGACCATTGACATATAACAGTCACAAACATAGATGGTCTCTTGTTTACAACACTGTAGCATGAGACCATTGAGATATTACAGTGACAAACATAGATCGTCTTATGTTTACAACATTTTAGCATGAGACCATTGGCATATAACTGTCACAGACATAGATGGTCTTATGTTTACAATACTGTGGCAGCAGACCATTGACAAACATGTATAACAATCACTAAAAAAGAATTAATGTTATTATTTGAAATGTTGAATTATATAGTAGCATTACAATATTTCCTATGCTTGGTATGGTTACAATTTAAGAAGTCCCCTGAGTTCCCTAATGTGTCTTCCATTATTTTTAAGAACAAAATTTAGATTATGTAATTAAACAATTTAAGATGATAAGAATTAAATGGTACATACTCTATAGAGTTTTCAGCGTACACATTATGTGAATTGACATACTGTCTCTGATTTCAGGGGCCCTTCATATCAAAGATCAGAATTTTATACAATGGATTGTCCTGGAATTGCCATACAGAGATGTTTTGAAAATTACATATCTTTAAGCTGTTTTGTATGGTTAACTTAAAGATCTTACTCAAGGAAATAACCAATCACAATGAATTAAGTTAATTACAGTTCTATATATAGAGAGAGACAACTTCTTTTTATTTTTTAATAAATAACATTTTAAGGCCTACAATATTGATTTTGGACTCATATAAGGGGAATTTCATATATTAAGCAGGCCTTTTCCATTGAACTGTAGGAAATTGTTCTTTAAGGTGTGCATGAAGCAGCTTCGTGAATGGTGTGTAGTCTGTTTGTCAAAATGTGAAGCTCAGGTGTATATCAAGCTGTACAGCGACTATCAGAATTTTGGTGCAAAACAAAGATACAATTTTAATCAGATTGATTTCAAGGTAGGTATGTTTACTGTCAATTTTCATTTTTTAAAAAGCTGCATCAAGTGTGTTTTTTCCGATTCAAATTTTTGTGTAGGTACATGTATTAATCTTTATTTTCTCTTACATTAATTTACTGCAAAGTGTCTGGTTAATAAATTTGATAAAGCTACAGAGAAACATATAGTGAATAATTTTTAAGTGTGAATCATAAAGAGTATAAGGTAACTCTCATTTTGACTATACTTTCTCTGATTTCAGGAGTAGTCTCCCCTATCAAAGATCAGTAATGGTGGATATACAATGCTGGATGCAGTCTGGTCATCAACAGAGAGTTTTGACATCCATTATTCATCTCTTTAACCTTTGCTGTGTTTATCAGACAGGTAAAAAAAAAAACAAGACAAATAATCAAAATAATTTTAATGAGTTTAATAACAAAAAATAAACCATTCTTTAATACATGTATAAGAATTAAAACACAATTATTAACACATACAATTATACATAATGTTCATATTTCCCCCATTTGCCTGATTGAATAGAACCCGACCGTGCGTAATAAAACATAGCAGCAATATTTGTAATATGTACCTAAATCAATTCACAAATTATGTATTGCATACAAATTTCATACTTTTGAATTTAAAACACAGAATCAATGATTTCATATCTACAACCGTTCATTTCCTACGTAAATATTTTGGTACATTTTGTAATATGCAATAGTATGTTTATCTTGGGCAATAAATAAATTACAATTCCCCCTTTCAAAGTCTATATGTTGTGACGCTATATATATATATATATATATATATATATATATATATATATATATATATATATATATATATATAATCAAAGAATTTTTTTTTTAAATATGATAAACAAAGTAAAATTCAAAACAGTTTCATTGAACATGGAAAATTTATTTACAGTATGTGTCTTTAGGATTTTTTATATTTTCAAATGATATCACAAGTTATAGATCTTTGATTTTTTGTTGATATTTATATTTTAATATCCTTTATTTATTTCATTTAAAAGTACATGTAATTTAGTCTATCTTGTTGGCTTTTTTTAGATGATGAACCAGTCTACTTCTTTTACAAGAGGTGCCCCTCCAGATTCACAAAGTTCCAATGTTGAGTTCCCATGACACCTATTCAGTGAGTGCACAATTTAATGTATTCTACTTTTAAACTTTTTATAGTTAAAATACATTTTGGATTTGATTTTCACAGATCTCAGAAGTACAAGTTTGATATTTAATTATCTCAAGATTACTTGGCTCTACAGTCAAATTTAAAGTGTATGCAGTCTTTAAACAAACATTTGTCTTCTTATCTGTCATTTCTAAGTCATTTCTAATTCAAAGTCACAAGGCAACACTGAAGATTTCCACTTATTGCTTTTTCAGTCCACCACAGGAAAAGGAAATAGTTGACAGGACTTTTTGCACTGTAATTGGAAGCAGCTTACGATGGAACCAACAGCAGTAGATAAAGCCAGCTGCCTGAAAGGTAAGTCTACCAAATAGTGTCTGTGCAGAGCCTCTTTGCTTGTTTTTCCCTGATATACTGTATGTGCATAAATTGGCGTATTCAAAATTTAGCGCAATCACTGAGTAGTGAGTGGTTAGTGCAATCATAAATCAGCCTTACACATGTCCATGTTTTATTTTGTATGGATACTTAAATGATTTTTTATTGTATTTATGAATTAGCTCATTGTTGTCCATGCCATATCTGCTGAAATATAAAGCCTGCTTTTTTAAGTAGACATACTGTAACAGTATATGTAAAATATCATACACTATATATTTTCTTGTAAAGTGTTTTTTATTTTTCTATTATTTGTATTTACTCAGATTTTTAATTGGACTGTGCCACTTATGTCAAGAGGCCCAACTTCACAGAAAAAACCTGGTATGAATATTTACTTTTTTACAATCATTCTTAGAAGAACAATAAAAGAATTGTAACATTAATTCTTTCAATGTTAGTATCTGAAAGAATTAAAAAAGAAGAAGACAAAAATAATTAGAGCAATTTATACCATACCCTGCTGCAAGTATTGATACAATTCTTTTGATTCCATTTTTATTGAACTATACCCCCCTTTCATGCTTTTTGTACCTATAAATGGATACATCTGTATGTATATGTATATTTATTATGTTTATATTTCAGGCTGGTTATAAAGGATTGTTATAATTTGATACCACTTCCAGTTTTTCAAGACACAAATGGGCATTTCCTGAACTTTCCAGTAATTTTTCAACAAGGAACTGTACTGTGGCTCACTTTTTATTCAGGAGAACTTTGTTTTCGTGTAATTACATGAGACTTTTGATCTCACAAAAATTGATTCTGTGGTACAATAGCATTCTGTAAAACATAAAGAGCTACAACCACAATTCTTGAAAATTTTGTCTAGTTAAAAAAGAGTTTATTCTTATCTCATGAGAATAAGGTGTCTCAAAACTTAAGCAGTCTATCTAGTGAAGTATGTTACTTCTTATTTTTATCAATACAGTGTGCTATGTCATATGAGATATGTGAGTCTTTAAACTTTCTTGAAGAAGAACATTCATACTGCATATGTAAATGATACAGTAAAACTCGTTTATAACGAAGTCGCTGGGACTTATGAAATTACCTAGCTATATCCGTAATTTGTTATAACCGTATAGGAAATTCATTAAATTCATATAGCTGGGGATCCAAGATGACTTCGTTATAACCGTGAATTGGCAATATCTTTGTTCATACTAAACGAATTTTACTGAAAAGAAAGAATTTCAAAGTCCTTTAATATAAAAAATAAAGCAACAAAAAGAAATTCTCTGTGTTTTTATTCCATCAATATGTTTGAGAATAAATTGTATCCATGATATTTCCTCTCCATTATGTAGCACTTTGATTTTGTTGTTCAAGAATTTAAGTTCAACTTTGACATTTGTTCAAGTAACCTTGACCTTTTGAGTTGTTCAAAATTATGGGAGATGTCACCACAAAGATTAATATGTGATTGGATTTTAAAAATAAACAGGAAATTTCAATAAAATGCAACAACTACATTAACCTCTTATAAATATATATATATAATCAGCAAACTTTTAAATGTTTGAAATTTCATTGAAAATATGTATAGTTAATTTAAAAATCCTATTAATTTTATTATTGCACACAATAATTGAATGGATGCAAACATCAAATTTATTATTTTTCTCATATACTGGTATATTCAAGTGATGAGGGCATTATTGAAGTGATGAGAGCAATAAAGTGAACATTTATGCCATTGATGAGGGCAATAGCCAATTAATCTAATTATTCAAATGATACTTGCATCAAAACATTTCTTGAGTTCCTGAACTCTAAAACGGTGCCGGCAACATTAATTTATAAAGATTGTTCTGATGCAAGCATCAAAGTGATATTCCTCTAGTATGTTCATGGGTTTCGGAAGGAAATTGAAAGTAGGGGGGGGGCTAAACCAACCAAAAAGGGTAAATCCTGATTTTCAATGCCTATATAAGGTTTATTTTTGCGGGGAAAAAAATGCCCCCCACCCCCTGGGTCCGACGCTTATGATGTTTAAGCATGCATTGAATCATAGTGATGATATTTTACAATCATATTGCGCTTACCCTAAAATAATTCATGTAACTACTTATAAGGGATGTAACACCCGTCTGGTATTATTGTGGACATTTTTTCTTTATTGTCACATTTTCGAAGTCGAAGGCAATCTCGGACAGCAAAATAATTTTTTTCCTCTTTTTAAATTTTATTTTTTACAGGTTAAAATATCTTCAACAAGGAAAACAAAATTGCTCAACCAGTAAATCTGTCAGTTTCACATCTTTTCCTGTTAATCTATTTCAATTATTTACTGTCCTGGTGAATTAGACACAATAAAAAATGCTCGGTAAGCACATGTTCACGTATATCCATGCATGGTAGAAAGATCATACCCGTATATGATCTATCGAACATATTATATACTCTAAGAAATGACAATTTTAATACCTCACCCATTTTAGTAATAACTGATACCATTTGAACATCAAAGGTATGGTAAACTGGGACGTAGAAATAAAACACGTCAACCCCCACCCCCTCCCCCAATATAGATTCTTATATACGATTTCTACAACAGGATGGTTGCATGTTACTCACTATACATGTATTATATAAAATTAATTAGGTTAACATTTTTTCTCTCTTTCTCTGTCCATCTCTCTCTCTATCTGACTCTGCAGTTCTCTCTCTTTCTCTGTCTCTCTCTCTCGTCCCCCCCCCTCTCTCAATGTTTTCTTTTTGTAAAAAAAAAAGTTTTTCAAAAAGCAATAAATTATGTAAAAAAAATAATTAGGTTAAAATGGGAGGAAAAGATTAATGATAGTTTAAAGGTGAAGCTCGTGGCTATTTAGAACACGTTTGCTTATAAATAGAAGAGCTCTAGTGATATGTCATTTAAAATTAAATTAAAATCAAATATTTAAACAGATCAAAACCCCCATGACTCTGTATATAAAGCATATCAAACAAAATTTCTGTCACTCGGGGATTATTTTTTCTTTTTTTATGACATCCACTTTCTTGGCCAGCTTATATGCGAAGACATTCTTATTTGCAAAAACCCGCTGTAAAAATGGTGAGAGTGTATATATATATATGTGATTCAGGGCTGGAGACCATAAACTGAGAACAGACTTAAGTAATTTTTTTTATTTTCAATAATTTGTCATTTATAATATACATTATCAAAAAATTGCATGTTGGTACAATATTTCTATTTAAAATTATTTATAAGTTATATTGATTTGAAATTTTGACTTGAGTCTATTCTCATTTTATGGTTTTTGGGCCAGGACTCCGTCCGTCGGTTACGCTTTTGTTCTGCGTGTAATTTTCAAATAAAATTTGGTTTAAACAAATTTAAATTTAGTTAGGGACATGGCATACTACTAAACAGAAAAAATGCCAGACGTTAACAGACTAACAGACAGGTTAGACTTAGAGCTATGGCTAGGGTTAGGGTTAGTCTGCAAGGGATAGGGTTAGCATTAGGGTTAGAGCTAGGGTTAAGGTTAAACTTAGAGCTAGGGTTAGAGTTAGGTTTAATCTGCTAGGGTGAGGGTTAGCATTAGGGTTAGAGCAAGGGTTTGGGTTAGGGTTAGTCTGCAAGGGTTAGGGTTAGTCTGCAAGGGTTAGGGTTAGCATTAGGGTTAGAGCTAGAGCCAGGGTTAGGGTTAGGGTTAGTCTGCAAGGGTTAGGGTTAGCATTAGGGTTAGACTTAGAGCTAGGGTTAGGGTAAGGGTTAGTCTGCAAGGATTAGGGTTAGCATGAGGGTTAAAGGTATGGTTAGGGTTAGACTTAGAGCTAAGGTTAGGGTTGGTCTGCAAGCATTAGGGTTAGCATTAGGGTTACAGCTAGGGTTAGGGTCCATCTCTTATCTGCAACTCCTCTCATACCATTGAAAGAAATTTGATGAAACTTTCACATAATCTTTATTACATATTGCCATTTTGCACCTCCTATTTTACTTTTTGATCCGACACATATTTTGGGTTTCCCATAGCAAAACATGGTTACGGTCATTATATTCAATTGGGAGGCGGTTTCATTTAGTGAGCTCAATTTAAATTTGGGTTTTCCAATAAAAAAACTGTCTTTGTCTTTCTTTCTATAATACTGTGGACCGATCTCTTTACAATTTGAAACTTTATTTCATAGTGCCATCTTGAACCTCCTACTTTACGGTTTGAGCGGACAGATAATTTTGTTCCTTACAGAACAAGATGGGTCTTGCCATTATACTTTATAAGGACGTACCCAATTCGTTAGTGCAACTACTCCTAAACCCTAGAATATTCCATGAAGCCTTTACAGAATCCCTTTTTACTCACATGCATGGGGGTGGGGATAGGGGTATTTATGTATCATTTTGTGAGGTTAGTGCAAGGCTTGCGTAGATCTTCCTTCCAACATCAAACAAAACGCTTTTGATTGTGCCTAACCCTTTTATTCATATTCTCGGATTATCTTCAGTGGAATATAAACTCCTATTTATTTAAGGCCACAAGGTCAAATAATTTTGAAATAAATAAAAATGAAGTTCAAAATGTTAAGATGCTTTGCTTGTCACATATATATCAGACTGTGTACAATGGCTGCCTCTGTCTATTAGATCACTCATAGTTGTCCTTATATTTGTAAAAATTCTCCAAAGTAAAGTTAACTCTGTTAATTGTTGGGATATATACATTTCATATTCAATTTTCCTTCAAGTTAGCTGAAATCTCCATCCTTTGGTTTTGAACTTTAAATTTTTTTGTTTAGTCCATAATGTGTGACAGAAAAGAAAATGAAAGATTGTAGGACCACTGCATTACTAGCCAGGTGCTCTCTGAGAATACAGCATTTCACTTTTGACTATTTAATGATACAGAATAAGGAGAAAGGATTTGAAACTGAAGAGAATAGTTTATTTTGTAATGATCAGAACACATTAATAAACATCTAAATACAATTCAATATTTCATACATCAAGTGTTAAGGAGACTAGAAGAATGTTTCCAATTTTAAACAAGAAATAATTTTGTCATAATTTGAATTTCAAATACATGTAATTTGGTTTAAATAGTAAAACTGGCTCAAAAATTTGATTGTTTCACTAGGGCTAAATTTGTACATGTATATGTTAACCAGAACACTTGTACAGACCTTGAAAATAAGGAAACAAGAAGAACAAATAAGAATAAACTGTGCATACATGTATAAGTTATGAGTTCTTTAATGATAGTGTAACAATAACTGGTCATGTCTAACATTATAATGCAGTATTCAATTTATCAAAGTAATGCAGTATGCCTGCTGCCTTAACAATACATGTTTGAATATATAATAAAATATGCTGAAATCAATTCAATATTTATTGCTCAAGAAAATATTGGAAATATACAAATATGCTCTCATCCAAATTATAGTTCATGTGCATACATTCAAATTATTGCTAACAACAAAAACAATGTGTATAATAAATAATATACATATGAAAAGCTTATAAATCAAGAAAATGACAGCAAAGTTAACAAAGAAAATAATATACTTACAATGCTTGCAAATGATGGCAGCAATAATAGCTTAAAAACAAAATATTTATGTAAAAGAGTTACAAGGGGCCAATGGACCTTAAAGGTCACCCGAGTAGAATACAACCCTGACCATAGAAAATGTTCTAAGAATAAAATAATAGGTGAGCCAAACTGTATGCCAAAATTATTTAAGACTGCTTAAGCGGTTTCAAAGAAGAAGTTGAAAATTTCCATATGATAGTGCACCATTGTCAGAGTGACTTGGGTGACCTTATATTCATAATAATCTACACAGTAACTATTCATCTGCTATTAAAAGTTTTCTTATTTCAATTTGTAATTAACACATGCTTGACAAAAAAAAATTCTAACATAGTTTTCAATACTCTATTATATTTCTCTTCTTACATGAGTGTGAAAATTGTGCTTTTTCTTAAATTGATGAAAACTTTGATAAAGTCTTGTTCTACAAGTAAAATATACAACATGTACAATTCACAAGAAAACATTTGCTGTCATATAGAAAAGTTGATCTTTAATCCATTTCAACCCTACATTTTCTTCTTCATTGCATTGGCTGTTTGGGCAGAGAATGTTGGGTACAAGGACAAATCATAAGGAAGGATACATTGCTGAAATATAAGAAAAGTCAATGTTAAATGATGATCATGAATGAATAAAAAAAAAGTCTGAGTTTATGTGGAAGCTATAAACATGCAAACTTCAAATAGTCATAGCAATTCAATATACATGAATAACATTTTAAGATTTACTATAAAAAATCAGTAAGTTAAGACATCATCCACAAGCAGAAACAGTCTACCTTGATATCAATTGGATAGTGATCATCTTAAGGGGCCTGCGCCTGCTGTTTTTTTTTGTAAGTTTCATTTGGAAGAAATAGACTTGGTTTAGAGGAATATATTTGGAGCTTGACCTTGACTTGACTTGACTAAGACCTTTTTGTGTGAGTTGGAACCATGCATTTTAAGAAACTCACCAAAGTTTCAAGTTTGTGATGGTTCACTGGACTGGAATCAGCATGGGGAGGAAAAACAAGGTCTGGCATGGATCCTTTTTATCTATTGTAAAAATATCACTTTACCAGTCACCAAGAAAAGCTTTACATAGAGGTAAGGAGATCTGGAAGGGGACGAAGAGGTGCACGCCTAAGTGTGGTTATGCCTGTCCGTCACTTGGTTACCAGTGTTACCACAGTGGTATGCATGGTATGCTTCTTGGTGAAAATTGAACCAGCATCAGTTGCCAACATGCAACAGACCTGCAACAAAAGGGAAAAATTATCAACTATGTTAATGAATATATGTAATCAGTGATTACAGAGCTTACCTCAACAAATGTTTGTTTTTAAGTCAGGCAAAATCCTACAGAACACTTATTATCTTGAAATATACATCCCCAAATCACTCATCTGGAAATCAAGATGCAAGCCTGAGTGTGCATCCTAAGATGTATCATCAATGCAAGTTTGGTCTACATAGGGCTTGTGCATCCTAAGATGTATCATCAATGCAAGTTTGGTCTACATAGGGCTTATAATTACTTTTAATAGAATGAATCTACTCCAAAAACTTTAAGCTGTTCACTCTTCTGGAAAATGTAGGTCAGATCCAGCATCTGAAGTTAGCCTCATAGTATGCATTCTTAGATTTATCACACAAGCAAGTTTGATTAACATAGGTCTTATAATTACTGGAAAATAAGATCTGCATCAAAAACTTAAACCTGTTCACTCATCCAGAAAATGTAGGTCAGATCCAGCATCTGAAGCAAGCCTAGTAATATGCATCCTTAGTTGAATCACCCATGCAAGCTTGGGTTGGTATAAGGCTTATATTTACTTGGAAATGAAACTTCACCATCTGGGATACCGACATTGACGCGAAGGGTATATACATAAGCTCCCCCACGTTGAGGTGAGCTAAAAATAGCTCAAAGAAAATAAGGCAGAACATTCAAGTAGTAAAATATGAAAATGTGTGACTTTCTTATACCTCGATCAAAGTATAATGCCATCTTCAATGCCGTTGAAAAAACCCCATTCCAAGCTGCCACCTGGGTGATTTACATCATAAATGAAAAAGGAACCTCGGTCAGAGGAAAAACGTTTTAGTCGTGTTCTGTACAATTAAACTATGCAAGAAAGGTACACACCTAAGAAGAACAGGAAAGGAAGTTACCTGCCAAGGACACAAAGACTGCACTGCAACTATTCCCCAAGAGGCCATAATTTGAGGTAAGAAGAGATGGGGCACAAAATTTATTGGTGATGAATGTCTACTTGTCGCATCCCATTTCACCAGTGATGAAGAAAGCTAGTGTAGATGCATCTGAAAAAACAATAACATGTCATTAAAAACTTTAAAGACTTTCGTCCCTCCTTTGACTTTGAAAAATAAACAGATTCCTAGGTCAAATTTTTACGAGAAGAACCAAAACCATCAGAATGCATGCAGAGAAGATTTGGAATGCTCCTACAGCTTCAAGGCAGGACATAGTACAAAAATTGTAAAAAAAAAAACAAAAAAAAAACCACTACTTGGTAGACTTACCTTTCAGGAAGCTGGCTTTGTCTACTGCTGTTGGTTCCATCCTCATTGCTACCAAGGACAGTGTAAAAAGTCCTGTCAACTACAGTGGAACTTCAGATATCCAGACCCAGATATCCGGATGCTTCAGTATCCGGACGATTTTTCATCTGAACGAAAATTTTAAATGTTATTCTTTCTTGTTTAACTGGTGATTCAGATATCCGGATGCTTCACATATCCGGACAAATTGACTGGGAACCAAAGCGTCCGGATAAATGAGGGTCCACTGTATTTCCTTTTCCTGTGGTGGACTGAAAAAGCAATAAGTGGAAATCTTCAGTGTTGCCTTGTGACTTTGAATTAGAAATGACTTAGAAATGACAGATAAGAAGACAAATGTTTGTTTAAAGACTGCATACACTTTAAATTTGACTGTAGAGCCAAGTAATCTTGAGATAATTAAATATCAAACTTGTACTTCTGAGATCTGTGAAAATCAAATCCAAAATATATTTTAACTATAAAAAGTTTAAAAGTAGAATACATTAAATTGTGCACTCACTGAATAGGTGTCATGGGAACTCAACATTGGAACTTTGTGAATCTGGAGGGGCACCTCTTGTAAAAGAAGTAGACTGGTTCATCATCTAAAAAAAAGCCAACAAGATAGACTAAATTACTTATAAATGAAATAAAAACTATTAAAATATAAATATCAACAAAAAATTAAAGATCTATAAAAAGATATCATTTGTAAGAAAAAAAATCTAAAGACACATACAGTAAATCACCAATAGACCCAAAATAAAAAGAGGAAGTTGTAGGACTTTGAAAGGGGGAACTGTAATTTATTTATTGCTCAAGATAAACATCCTATTGCAATGTACAATAATATTTACGTAGGAAATGAAAGGTTGTACATATGGAATCATTGATTCTGTGTTTTAAATTCAAAAGTATGAAATTTGTATGCAATACATAATTTGTGAATTGCCTTACATGTTATAAATATTGCTATGTTTTCTTATGCACTGACTCTATTCAATCAGGCAAATGGGGGAAATATGAACATTATGTATAATTGTATGTGTTAATAATTGTGTTTTAATTCTTACACATGTATTAAAGAATGGTTTATTTTTTGTTATTAAACTCATTAAAATTATTTTGATTATTTGTCTTGTTTTTTTTTACCTGTCTGATAAACACAGCAAAGGTTAAAGATATGAATTATGGGTGTCAAAACTCTCTGTTGATGACCAGACTGCATCCAGCATTGTATATCCACCATTACTGATCTTTGATAGGGGAGACTACTCCTGAAATCAGAGAAAGTATAGTCAAAATGAGAGTTACCTTATACTCTTTAGGATTCACACATAAAAATTATTCACTATATGTTCCTCTGTAGCTTTATCAAATTTATTAACCAGACACTTTGCAGTAAATTAATGTAAGAGAAAATAAAGATTAATAGATGTACCTACACAAAAATTTGAATTGGAAAAAACACACTTGATGCAGCTTTTTAAAAAAAGTAAATTGACAGTAAACATACCTACCTTGAAATCAATCTGATTAAAATTGTATCTTTGTTTTGCTCCAAAATTCTGATAGTCGCTGTACAGCTTGATATACACCTGAGCTTCACATTTTGACAAACAGACTACACACCATCCACAGAGCAGCTTCATGCACACCTTAAATGACAATGTATCATTAAAATTCTTATCATCTTAAATTGTTTAATTACATAATCTAAATTTTGTTCTTAAAAATAATGAAAGACACATTAGGGAAGTCAGGGGACTTCATAAATTGTAACCATACCAAGCATAGGAAATACTGTAATGCCATTATATTATTTAACATTTCAAATAATAACATTGAATCTTTTTAGTGATTGTTATACATGTATGTCAATGGTCTGCTGCTACAGTATTGTAAACATAAGACCATCTATGTCTGTGACAGTTATATGCTGATTGTCTCATGCTACAGTGTTGTAAACAAGAGACCATCTATGTTTGTGACTGTAATATGTCAATGGTCTCATGCTACAGTGTTGTATACATGAGACCATCTATGTTTGTGACTGTAATATGTCAATGGTCTCATAATACAGTACTGTAAACATGAGACCATCTATGTTTGTGACTGTTATATGTAAAAAGTCTCATGCTACAGTGTTGTAAACATGAGACCATCTGTGTTTAAGACTGTTATAAGTCAATGGTCTCATGCTACAGTGCTGTAAACATGAGACCATCTGTGTTTAAGACTGTTATAAGTCAATGGTCTCATACTACAGTGTTGTAAACATGAGACCATCTGTGTTTAAGACTGTTATATGTCAATGGTCTCATGCTACAGTGTTGTAAACATGAGACCATCTATGTTTAAGACTGTTATAAGTCAATGGTCTCATGCTACAGTGCTGTAAACATGAGACCATCTATGTTTGTGGCTGTAATATGTCAATGGTCTCTTGCTACATGTTGTAAACATGAGACCATCTATGTATTAGACTGTTATATGTCAATGGTCTCATGCTACATTGTTGTATACATGAGACCATCTATGTTTAAGATTGTTATATGCCAATGGTTTCATACTACAGTGTTGTAAACATGAGACCATCTGTTTTTGTGACTGTAATATGTCAATGGTCTCATGCTACAGTGTTAAACATTGTAAACAAGAGACCATCTATGTTTGTGACTGTAATATGTCAATGGTCTCATGCTACAGTGTTGTAGAGATGAGAATATGTGTTTAATACTGTTATACATCAATGGTTTCTTGCTACAGTGTTTTAGACATGAGATTGTCTATGTTTAAGACTATTATAAGTCAATGGTCTCATGCTTCAGTGTTGTAAACAAGAGACCATCTATGTTTGTGACTGTAATATGTCAATGGTCTCTTGCTACAGTTTTGTAAACATGAGACCATCTATGTTTAAGACTGTTATATGTCAATGGTCTCATGCCACAGTGTTGCAAACATGAGACCATCTATGTTTAAGACTGTTATATGAATGGTCTCATGCTACAGTGTTGTATATGTTTGTGACTGTAATATGTCAATGGTCTCATGCCACAGTGTTGTAAACATGAGACCATATATGCTAAAGACTGTTATATGTCAATGGTCTCATGCTACAGTGTTGTAAACATGAGACCATCTATGTTTAAGACTGTTATATGTCAATGGTCTCATGCCACAGTGTTGTAAACATGAGACCATCTATGTTTAAGACTGTTATATGTCAATGGTCTCATGCTACAGTGTTGTAAACATGAGACCATCTATGTTTGTGACTGTAATATGTCAATGGTCTCATGCTACATTGTAAACATGAGACCATCTATGTTTAATACTGTTATATGTCAATGGTCTCATGCCTTAGTGTTGCAAACATGAGTCCATTTATGTTTAAGACTGTTATATGTCAATGGTCTCATGATACAGTGTTGTAGACATGAGACCATCTATGTTTAAGACTGTTATATGTCAATGGTCTCATGCTACAGTGTTGTATACATGAGACCATGCCTGTTTAGACTGTTATACGTCAATGGTCTCATGCTACAGTGTTGTAAACAAGAGACCATCTATGTTTAAGACTGTTATATGTCAATGGTCTCATGCTACAGTGTTGTAGACATGAGACCATCTGTGTTTAAGACTGCTACATGTCAATGGTCTCATGCTACATGTTGTAAACATGAGACCATGCCTGTTTAAGACTGTTTTATGTTGATGGTCTCATGCTTCAGTGTTGTAAACAAAAGACCATCTATGTATGTGACTGTAATATGTCAATGGTTTTTTGCTACAGTGTTGTAAACATGAGACCATCTATGTTTGTGGCTGTAATATGTCAATGGTCTCTTGCTACAGTGTTGTAAACATGAGACCATCTATGTATTAGACTGTTATATGTCAATGGTCTCATGCTACATTGTTGTATACATGAGACCATATATGTTTAAGATTGTTATATGCCAATGGTCTCATGCTACAGTGTTGTAAACATGAGACCATCTGTTTTTGTGACTGTAATATGTCAATGGTCTCATGCTACAGTGTTAAACATTGTAAACAAGAGACCGTCTATGTTTGTGACTGTAATATGTCAATGGTCTCATGCTACAGTGTTGTAGAGATGAGAATATGTGTTTATACTGTTATGTCAATGGTTTCATGCTACAGTGTTGTAACATGAGACCATCTATGATTAAGACTGTTATATGTCAATGATCTCATGCTACAGTGCTGTAAACATGAGACCATCTATGTTTGTGACTGTAATATGTCAATGGTCTCTTGCTACAGTTTTGTAAACATGAGACCATCTATGTTTAAGACTGTTATATGTCAATGGTCTCATGCTACTATGTTGTAAACATGAGACCATCTGTGTTTTAGACATGTTATATGTCAATGGTCTCATGCTACAGTGTTGTATACATGAGACCATCTATATTTAAGACTGTTATATGTCAATGGTCTCATGTTTCAGTGTTGTAAACATGAGACCATCTATGTTTAAGACTATTATTAGTCAATGGTCTCATGCTACAGTGTTGTAAACATAAGACCATCTATGTTTGTGACTGTAATATGTCAATGGTCTCATGCTACAGTGTTGTAAACATGAGACCATCTATGTTTGTGACTGTAATATGTCAATGGTCTCATGCTACAGTGTTGTAAACATGAGACCATCTGTGTTTAAGACTGTTACATGTCAATGGTCTCATGCTACAGTGTTGTTAACAAGAGGCCATCTATGTTTGTGACTGTAATATGTCAATGGTCTCATGCTACAGTGTTGTAAACATGAGACCAAACATGTATGTGTTTAAGAATGTTACATATTGAGAGTACAAAGAAATTTTTATAATGCACTTACGTGCATAACTCAATTTGTTTGCACACATCCTTGTAATTATGAGACTATATTTAAAAAAAATAATGATTCATTGCCTAAATTGTCTCGTATATTGCAGTTCAATAAGCGTGTGTTTGTAATTGTTTGATGGCAAAGTGTTGTAAACTAGTAGCAAAGTGTGTTTTTTTGTTCACAATTGTCAAATTGCAATATCACATTTCCTCATTTGTTTTAAAAAGGAATATTTTTACAATTACATCAATCAATAAACTATTAGGCACCTATGTATGGGTCTTTTTTTCTTATCTCACCTGCTTCCTCCATTTAAAATCTTTGTATAATCCTGTAGAACCCTTACTACCTAACCGTTATTGTGTTTGAGGGTAGAGCTAACGTCTAAATTTAAGCATTAATTAAATCTAAAGCTTGATTAAGAATTGGTGGAAAGGCTTCTATTATAACCGGATATGGTTAGGGGTAAATAGATGGGAGAACCGCGATTCCGGAAAGCCCTAGCCTCGTTTTGATTTAGATGCGACCATGGTCTCATGCCCTGTTTTTGTATGTAAATATA